TCTCTCGTTCTTTGATGTGGCCCTTAGGAAGGTAGAGATAATTACAGGGTATGATTTGGCTAAAACATATTTTTTTCCTCTCAGTTTTGACAGATATCTGGCATCGCACATTGAAACATTGCTCAGGACGTATTGAATAATGGGTTTTGGTTCAAATTGCTGAAAACAGTCAAAATAAAATGTCAAGAATTTCCCTTACCCATCAGCTGCATGAATTCACTCGCACCACAGCTTCAGAGGCCTCTGATGAAGTCATGCCCATTCTACAATACTATGCGAGGCTTACTAGGAAATAAAAACCAGATAAACCACATTTTTTAAAAATGTGAAATATAATATTCAGGATTGTTACAATATATATATATATATATATATATATATAGCATGATTTTTAGTAAAGGTCTGAGCATTGCAAATAAATATAAAATGTAGTATAAAAATGTTAGCAGTATAATACATTTTTAATTGATGTCTGAATATTGTAAACATTTAAGTAATAAAGCAATATAAATTGCTAACAATTTATCTTTATATTTTAAGTTTAAAAAAATTATATTTTACATTACATTTATAATTATAATTACATTTTACAATTGTATTTTACATTACACACATTACTGCACAAAATTACAAATAAAAGTAATAAAACAATGTATATATTTATTTCATTTTATAAGTCAATATATGAGTGCTGGGCAATGATTAATCGCGATTAATCGCATCCAAAATAAAAGTTTTTGTTTATGTAATATATGTGTGTGTCTGGGCAATGATTAATCGCGATTAATCGCATCCAAAATAAAAGTTTTTGTTTACATAATATATGTATGTGTACTCTGTATATTTATTATGTATATATAAATACACATATAGTATATATTTTGAAAATATTTACATGTATTCACATGTATATATTTATATTCATATAATTTATATTATATATAAATATTTTTCATATATAAACATAACATATTTTAAGTGTGTATGTATATATACATAATAAATATACACAGTACACACACATATATTATATACACATTTTGTATGCGATTAATCGTGTTTAATTGTTGCCCAGCACTACAATATATACATTACCTTTCATTTCCAAAACGAAGCAGAATCATTTGGTAACACTGGGTTTTTCTCTACTGTTGCAGGTTCTAGAGGAACGGATGAAGCTGGAATGTAAATGCCATGGTGTCTCCGGCTCATGTACCACAAAAACCTGTTGGACGACTCTGCCGAAATTCCGAGAGATCGGCTACGTCCTTAAGGAGCGTTATGCCACTGCAGTCGAGGTGGAGGCCGTGAGAGCCACGCGTTTTCGCCAACCGTCTTTCCTGCGTCTCAAGCAGTCCCGTGGGTACATAAAGCCCACAGACACAGACTTGGTTTACTTGGAGCGCTCGCCCAACTATTGTGAGGAGGACGCTGCGACGGGGAGCGCAGGAACGAGAGGGCGGCTGTGTAACCACACGTCCCCTCACACGGACGGCTGCAACCTGATGTGCTGTGGCCGGGGCCACAACACCCATCAGTACACACGCGTGTGGCAGTGCAACTGCAAGTTCCAGTGGTGCTGCTTCGTTAAGTGTAACACCTGCAGTGAAAAGACGGAGGTGTTTACCTGTAAATGAGCGAGTGGTAGAGTTAAAAGGACAAGAAAGAAAGGCGAGAAGCCAATGGAGAGAAACAGGAAGTGTTTGAAACAGAAATGGAAGTGGCTTCGTTTTGCACATCAGGCAGTCTTTATGCAAGAAAGCCCCGCTGAAGAAGACTACGATGAATAATGAAGATGCCGGAACTTCAGAGGAAAATGCACTGACCTCAGACTGACTTTTTGTGAATTCATGCAAACATAAGGACGCAACATATGCAGTGCAAGGCTTTTGTAGATCTCAGATTATAGAAAGTCAGCTGGGACCTGTCCTGAGGACCACGTATTGACTCAATACTCCTATTGGACAGTCTAAACTGCCCACAAAAGTGACCTTTTTCAAATGAAAGCAAGAAGAACTTGTAAAATGTCCCACCAGCTGAGCACCTATGGGAGTTCAAGAGGAAAAACGTGCTGCAACTTTGCAACTCTGGAAATGCTGGAAAGCTTCAGTCACACTGTATCTGTTTGAACACTGAAAAACATGACCTTTTTCCTTCTCTTTGGAGAAAAAGTCTGAATATGTTCATACTGTAGATGTCTCCTAATGGTACACAAAAGTATGAACTTCTAATATCATTGCTACTGATCTGTTGCTCCCAAAACTCACCTCAAAACAGTATAGGACATTGCGTATGTAAAAAGAGCTTCTTTTGCAGTTTACAGATTAAGAAAAAGGGTCAACTCATTTATACACTTAAGAAACCATAATTTTGGTGAATACGTTGCCAATTGCTGCACTGGTGGGCTTTAAGTAAACAAAAACCGTTTGTGTTTTTTATGAGAAGAGAAGCTTCCTTAGTCATCGATAAAGACTTGGCCATGTATGCTGCAATGCTCTAAACGTGAGTGTGTAAACGTGGGAACGAAAGAGAGAGAGAGCTTTTACATACTTAATAGAAATGTGACCCACCACCGTTTGAGTGACCAAACCATTCCCACGAATGCCAGAGACATGGGATTCCACATCACTGCTCCGGCGTGCACAAGGTCTAGTTATATTCCGCCTGAGCCAATGGACCATACCAGCTATGGGTCTAAAAACGGTTGAAAGGTCACTGGAAATATTTTGAGTAGCAGTTTTTTTTTAATCTAAATTGTTTATACGAGTTATATGGCTGATAAATTTGTTAAAATATATTTTTTTATGTAGAGAATATGGCACTTTATGTCAGATATATTCAGAGTAATTATTAATACTGTTTTATTCATCATGTTTTTATTGTTTAAGTTTAATTATGTAAGCTTTTATTTTAAATGACTTTTCCTGAATTCAAGTTTGATATGAAACCATCTCATCTTTTTGTTGCCTGGATGTATTTATACTTTTTTGGCAAAGATTTACACTAAAATCGCTAGATAAATAATGAATCAAACATTTGGATAAAATACATCAAACTGTGGTCATTTGAATTCATCTTATTACTAAGCAAAATGATGCCATATTGTTAAACGCACATCAACAACTCGGAAAGTTCCCAGAAGCACCGAGCGGCTCATAGTTGTGGGTGTAGATACTGCGAACCGCTGATCTCGGAGTGACACAGAGCTGTTCCCGCCTGGGTTTGAATAGGCATCCGACCTGGCTCATTCATTCACCCGCCGTATGCTCTCTGCCCCTCTGGTCTTTATCCTGTGGGTGAAAAGCATTGCAGGCAGCCACCGAAGCAGAAGTAAACTGGACCTGTTTTGTTAGCCGTCTGAACTGCTGGGTACCGGAACCGCGTAAGCTCCCAACACTATACCCCGGATTGAGAGAAAAGTCAACCCCGATTGTTTCGCACAAACATTTTGTCATTAAAAAATATGAGGCAGAAAAAACAGGGTGTGGTGGGAAGAGCAGAGGCCTCCACAGAGGGGTATTAATGCTACGGGGGGTGTGTGTATGTGTGGACCGCTCAGCTCATTCCAGAATGGGACGGGGCGAGATGTGATTCTGCAAGCTAATACTTCTGGTCTGATTCACGTAGGACAAACTAAGGGCAGAACTAGATGACCACGAGAGCAAAAAAGTGGTGTGGGATAGACAGAGGGAGAGAAAGACCTGATGACTGATTTCTGGTCTGTATGAGAGAGGTTGCTTTTCTAATGTCCTATGTATATTAGGCTGGACAGTATACAATCACAATCAACAAGAATCTAGGGACACTCTTCCTAAAATAGAAAAGCAGCTAGTTATATGTGTAAAGACCAATTGATACTGTTTTTTAAAAGTAAGCAGAGTATACATTCTATTGTAAAGAAAACATGTTGTTTACAAAATTAAATTATTTGATTTATCATCATGAAAATATTTACTTTGTATCAAGTTAATGGTGTAGGTTTTCTACTCGATATTAAATTATAAGAGAATTTTGTATATATGACAGTAAAGACTTTTACATTGATACAAAAAAACATATTGATGTAACAAATTCTGTTATTTCTTTTGAACTTTCTATTCATCAAAGAATCCTGAAAAAAAATATGTATCACAGTTTCCACAAAAATATTAAGCAGCTCAGCTGTTCATAATAATAATAAATGTTTATTGAGCACCAAATCAGTATATTAGAATGATTTCTGAAGGATCAAGTGGCACTGACGACTGTATAATGATGCTGAACATTCAGCTTTGCCATCACAGGGATAAATTACATTTTAAGATCTATTAAAATAGAAAGCAGTTATTTTAAATTGCAATAATATTTCAAGATATTACTGTTTTTAATCAAATAAATGTAGCCTTAGTGACGGGCTTCTTTCAAAAACATTCAAACTAAACCCAAACTTTTATATAGTTATGCATACTTTTAAAATAAATGTTCTAATTTTCAAAACGATCTAGCTGTTTTGAACACTTTTCAGTAGTACGTGATCTCGGTAAGTGTAGTTTGTCAAAGCTTCTTGCCTGTAATGGGATCTGGCTACAGATTCACACAAAACATGAGTGCGGAATTGCTCTTAAAATAAATAAATACAAAATTGGATACTACGGAACGTACACACAGGTAATTGCGTTGTGTTATTTTATTATAGTAAATGCACTAAATAGACAGCTCTATCATACAGCAATCTCCAACTACCAAGCTACAAGGGAAGTTTGTTCAAATATTAGGGGAATTGTTGAAATTGCACGGCTTTGTAAACAAACCCGATTTAAAGCACAAAATCTTAAGTCAGCTTTCAAAAAGAAGGATCCGAGTCTCAACGGCTATTCAGAGATGAACTTTACGTGTACAGATCAAGAGGCGGCCTGGTCTCTATAAAATGCACTGAATTAGGGATTAACCTCTACTCCCTGTTGGTCACCAGAGTCTCTTTAGTGGCTGAAAAACCAGGAAGACACGGTTCTCCTTGTTGCATAGGATTTGAATCCCACTTTGGGGGGGTTGGAATCAAAGACCACTAAATGCATCACAGACATCAGCATGAGTCCTCTCAGATAAGCTCCTCTGATTGATTTCCTCTTGTGTGGAGAACACAAAGCCCAGACCACCCCCTTGTGCTGCCAACTACTGATTGGATATTTAATGGCCCCAGTGTGTTGTGGGCATTTTAAGCCATCTCCAGAGTGTAATATAGCATGGTAAAGGGGTGTGGGGATGGGCATCCCGGGCTCTACTTAATCAACTATGGGTCCTTCTTTAGGGGCCTAAGCAGTAGACTGCCATCCCTTTCTTCCACTCTGAAGCCGATTTCTCTGAGCATCGTGTCATCTGCCACACCTTGTCTCCGAAGACCTTGTATCAGCTTCTGATTCTCTAGGTTGTGTTCCATGATGTTCCGGATGGCAAACACAGCCCACTGGCTTATGACTGGAAAAAATATTAAGGAAAGTTATTGTTTTGCTATGTGGTCGTCAGGGTGTTCTTGTTGGTTTAATGCCAAAAAAGCCCACCAAAAAGTCTCCATGATATTCTGGTCTCTATATGTGGTTAAGGAACTACCTTCAACATAACTTCGCCAATTTTATCATCAATCAGGATGCAAATTCAATCACTGTCAAAGTTTATACTTAGGGCATGGATGCACAATATATTGGTAGATCAGTATATCACATAATATTTTATCAAAATTTTGCCCATACCAGAAGTGAAGCTAGCAACACCAGGTCCAGCAGCCACGCTAAACAGTAAGCAACAACGACAACGTCCTAAAAACGGTCAGGAAACAGCGTCCGGGAGGACACAAGCTCAGCTTAGCGGCTCATCCCCTAGTGAAAGAGCAGCTGGCGCTGTGCCCTGCTCTCTCTAATACACACCGGCAGTGGTCGCTAGAGAATGAAAGCGTTTTTTTAACAACAGTGCCAGCATCAGTCAAGGATCCTTTGGAAACACAGCTGCAATACATCAGATTGTCGTGTTATCAATGAACCGTTTCATATGGAACAGAGTTGGCAGGATGCAGGTCAACACTATAAAAATATAAAATGTCACTTCATTTTATTCAAGTGGTGATTTTCCACCTAGGATTTCAATCAAGTTTTCCATAAAGTGTTGCACATCTATAAAACTGACTTCTGTCAACACCACAAAATTACTCATTTATGCAATACCTACATTTAGCTTCATAAACTATTATGACTAGATATTTCACACAAGGAGGCACAAGGAGAAATGTTCTTGAGTCAGCCCAACAGTTCCACCTTTCTACAGGGGACGTTGCTAGGTTGACGGACATGAAACCATTGGGCAAGATGCTTGCTTTGCTCTAATAACATCTCAACTGCGTTTTCAACTCTGAACAAGCCACCAGTCATTCAAACTTCAAACGTTGCGGTAAAATCTCCATCAATAATGGAATTTAAGAGGGTATTACAATGCTATTCACACTTTAGATAGCAATATTTTTTGTGGCGGTTTTCACAAAACCAGAAAACCCTCATTAAATACACCACAAAAGCACAGAGTGAATGGAATCACGACCAAGGATACAGGGGTTGTTGCTATCAATGCTGCAGTTGTCCAGAATGAGAGCTATACCGTCCAGTTCTCTTACCTATAGGAGACAAATGGAAAAAACAAGGAAAATGGTCTTTAACAGGGACATCGTGAGCCAGACTGGTCAGAAAACAATTACTTTCCATGGAGGAAAGTCCATGCGGTTGAGCTCTGGTTTGGCGCAATCATACGAGTTTGCGCTGGTTTTCGTCACATGCAGTCTCTAACTATACCGTACATTACCCTGAGTATGTATCGTAACCCAAGAGCTACAGCGGTTGCCCTTGTTCCTTTAAAAAAAATGAATAAGAAAGAGGAGACACAAACCCTGACAATTTTCTGCTGCTAATGACTAGCATGGCGTTTGATTGAGAAAGTAGTGCTAGCAATAAAACGAAGGGAAACTTATGTGACCGTACGCTTTGGCCACAAAATTAGTTTTGTTTGGCTATCCTCACATGTAGTGGACTACTGCAACGGCAGCATTTTAAGGCATCAGCACTACTGATCCTACACTTAACTGTACTGCCACCTAAGACACTTTCTTGTAGCAAAGTAAAGACTGAAAAAAATCCAAAACAACAGACAAGGGGAGACAAATGTAGTTCAAAATGTTGACAAATACATTTAAAGTTAATATTTGTATAATATATTTGTGTTTAACATTGTTATGCTTATTTGAGTCAGCTATTAGCAGTGGCAACATAACACTAAACTTTAAGAAGTGGTCTAGAGACGCAGAATTTTAAAAGTTGACCACGTTTTAACTCAACTATCGAACTATCGAACACCCGTCTTGAAAAGCAGTGCAGTGGAATGCAAAAATGCATTCTGAGTGAACGGCCCATTAGAAAGCAGCAACGGGAGCAGTGCAATCACAAGGTTTTGGAACAAGGTTTTTGGTCAAAAAGTGAGGGTGCAGGCTGGGGGAGACTTGCTATTGTTTTTTGACCTTTGACCTCTCAGTTGTGTGCCTTGACCCTATTTAAGAAGGCCGGTACTAGGTTCTCCTCTGTGCTGATTGAAGGGGACCGACCTGAAAGCCTGAAAATCCCTCCTTCGCAGGAGGCTGCTTACAAGAGAATTCATTAAAAAGAAAAAAAAAGTAGAAAGGGAACAAAGTGGGAAAAGATCTGGGGAAGAAATGAGATGATACAAGCATGAAATTCAGAATGGTTCTCGGGTCTTTATCTACCAGCGTTAATCCTCTGATTAGTTTTCAAGGAGGGAGCTTCCACAAACAAAAAGCCCAGGCCTGGGTTGACAGACACAGAGAAAGCCTCTAAACCACAGTATTGTTAATGTGTTTACCACGACTGGGTTGTGCCGTCTGTTGATCAGTACATTACTGGAGTTGGCTGCAAACTCTATGGTGTTAGTTTCGTCATTCATTGCCAACACATTCCTTCACATTCCAACAAGTCATAGAAATTGCAGGAGAGGAAGTTTAAAAGATGATTTCCAAGAATTTTGCTAACTACTTCCTTCCCTTGGCAATCCCACTGACTATTTCAGTTTTTCTTACCCATCAATCAGTTCTCTTTTATTGATGAATTTCAAGCAAGGTGCAGTCATGCGAAGCTACATATTTTTCAACTTGATTTCCTCTTGTGTGGAGAACACAAAGCCCAGACCACCCCCTTGTGCTGCCAACTACTGATTGGATATTTAATGGCCCCAGTGTGTTGTGGGCATTTTAAGCCATCTCCAGAGTGTAATATAGCATGGTAAAGGGGTGTGGGGATGGGCATCCCGGGCTCTACTTAATCAACTATGGGTCCTTCTTTAGGGGCCTAAGCAGTAGACTGCCATCCCTTTCTTCCACTCTGAAGCCGATTTCTCTGAGCATCGTGTCATCTGCCACACCTTGTCTCCGAAGACCTTGTATCAGCTTCTGATTCTCTAGGTTGTGTTCCATGATGTTCCGGATGGCAAACACAGCCCACTGGCTTATGACTGGAAAAAATATTAAGGAAAGTTATTGTTTTGCTATGTGGTCGTCAGGGTGTTCTTGTTGGTTTAATGCCAAAAAAGCCCACCAAAAAGTCTCCATGATATTCTGGTCTCTATATGTGGTTAAGGAACTACCTTCAACATAACTTCGCCAATTTTATCATCAATCAGGATGCAAATTCAATCACTGTCAAAGTTTATACTTAGGGCATGGATGCACAATATATTGGTAGATCAGTATATCACATAATATTTTATCAAAATTTTGCCCATACCAGAAGTGAAGCTAGCAACACCAGGTCCAGCAGCCACGCTAAACAGTAAGCAACAACGACAACGTCCTAAAAACGGTCAGGAAACAGCGTCCGGGAGGACACAAGCTCAGCTTAGCGGCTCATCCCCTAGTGAAAGAGCAGCTGGCGCTGTGCCCTGCTCTCTCTAATACACACCGGCAGTGGTCGCTAGAGAATGAAAGCGTTTTTTTAACAACAGTGCCAGCATCAGTCAAGGATCCTTTGGAAACACAGCTGCAATACATCAGATTGTCGTGTTATCAATGAACCGTTTCATATGGAACAGAGTTGGCAGGATGCAGGTCAACACTATAAAAATATAAAATGTCACTTCATTTTATTCAAGTGGTGATTTTCCACCTAGGATTTCAATCAAGTTTTCCATAAAGTGTTGCACATCTATAAAACTGACTTCTGTCAACACCACAAAATTACTCATTTATGCAATACCTACATTTAGCTTCATAAACTATTATGACTAGATATTTCACACAAGGAGGCACAAGGAGAAATGTTCTTGAGTCAGCCCAACAGTTCCACCTTTCTACAGGGGACGTTGCTAGGTTGACGGACATGAAACCATTGGGCAAGATGCTTGCTTTGCTCTAATAACATCTCAACTGCGTTTTCAACTCTGAACAAGCCACCAGTCATTCAAACTTCAAACGTTGCGGTAAAATCTCCATCAATAATGGAATTTAAGAGGGTATTACAATGCTATTCACACTTTAGATAGCAATATTTTTTGTGGCGGTTTTCACAAAACCAGAAAACCCTCATTAAATACACCACAAAAGCACAGAGTGAATGGAATCACGACCAAGGATACAGGGGTTGTTGCTATCAATGCTGCAGTTGTCCAGAATGAGAGCTATACCGTCCAGTTCTCTTACCTATAGGAGACAAATGGAAAAAACAAGGAAAATGGTCTTTAACAGGGACATCGTGAGCCAGACTGGTCAGAAAACAATTACTTTCCATGGAGGAAAGTCCATGCGGTTGAGCTCTGGTTTGGCGCAATCATACGAGTTTGCGCTGGTTTTCGTCACATGCAGTCTCTAACTATACCGTACATTACCCTGAGTATGTATCGTAACCCAAGAGCTACAGCGGTTGCCCTTGTTCCTTTAAAAAAAATGAATAAGAAAGAGGAGACACAAACCCTGACAATTTTCTGCTGCTAATGACTAGCATGGCGTTTGATTGAGAAAGTAGTGCTAGCAATAAAACGAAGGGAAACTTATGTGACCGTACGCTTCGGCCACAAAATTAGTTTTGTTTGGCTATCCTCACATGTAGTGGACTACTGCAACGGCAGCATTTTAAGGCATCAGCACTACTGATCCTACACTTAACTGTACTGCCACCTAAGACACTTTCTTGTAGCAAAGTAAAGACTGAAAAAAATCCAAAACAACAGACAAGGGGAGACAAATGTAGTTCAAAATGTTGACAAATACATTTAAAGTTAATATTTGTATAATATATTTGTGTTTAACATTGTTATGCTTATTTGAGTCAGCTATTAGCAGTGGCAACATAACACTAAACTTTAAGAAGTGGTCTAGAGACGCAGAATTTTAAAAGTTGACCACGTTTTAACTCAACTATCGAACTATCGAACACCCGTCTTGAAAAGCAGTGCAGTGGAATGCAAAAATGCATTCTGAGTGAACGGCCCATTAGAAAGCAGCAACGGGAGCAGTGCAATCACAAGGTTTTGGAACAAGGTTTTTGGTCAAAAAGTGAGGGTGCAGGCTGGGGGAGACTTGCTATTGTTTTTTGACCTTTGACCTCTCAGTTGTGTGCCTTGACCCTATTTAAGAAGGCCGGTACTAGGTTCTCCTCTGTGCTGATTGAAGGGGACCGACCTGAAAGCCTGAAAATCCCTCCTTCGCAGGAGGCTGCTTACAAGAGAATTCATTAAAAAGAAAAAAAAAGTAGAAAGGGAACAAAGTGGGAAAAGATCTGGGGAAGAAATGAGATGATACAAGCATGAAATTCAGAATGGTTCTCGGGTCTTTATCTACCAGCGTTAATCCCCTGATTAGTTTTCAAGGAGGGAGCTTCCACAAACAAAAAGCCCAGGCCTGGGTTGACAGACACAGAGAAAGCCTCTAAACCACAGTATTGTTAATGTGTTTACCACGACTGGGTTGTGCCGTCTGTTGATCAGTACATTACTGGAGTTGGCTGCAAACTCTATGGTGTTAGTTTCGTCATTCATTGCCAACACATTCCTTCACATTCCAACAAGTCATAGAAATTGCAGGAGAGGAAGTTTAAAAGATGATTTCCAAGAATTTTGCTAACTACTTCCTTCCCTTGGCAATCCCACTGACTATTTCAGTTTTTCTTACCCATCAATCAGTTCTCTTTTATTGATGAATTTCAAGCAAGGTGCAGTCATGCGAAGCTACATATTTTTCAACCAGTCTCGAATATCATACATTTTTACCATGATTTACAGTGATTTTCCAAAAATCTTGTCAGGCATATTTAGAAGAAAGATTAGTTGACTTTAAAAAAACTCTATTTAAGGAACAGTGCAGAAACTAAAACTAATTGTAATTTTGAATCTTTGCCACTATCCTTCAAACCACTAGGTTTTACTCATTTGTGATCAATATTTGTTTAATCCTTACACACACACACACACACACACACACACACAAGTACTGTATATGTAGGTCAGAATAAGCATGTTGTTTGATTTTTGCAAAAGTATATCTGATATGCTGAATGACAATGGAACATTTTATTTCCACAAAAGTTATTTGAAACATTAAAGCAGACACTTGCATTTAAAGGGGTCATATGATGTTGCTAAAAAGAACATTATTTTGTGTATTTGGTGTACGTGATGGAAATGTTACGCCCCTTTCCATACTGTGATGCCCTGTGTCCCGGCACGACGAGACAAAACCAATAAAACCCATTACAAACTCCTTCCTATACAAGTATACAAAATCAATTTGGAAATTTAATTTGATGCGGACAACAAAATGTTATGTCTTTGACCCACCCATATATAGTATATGGAGTCTGTTTTGAAAATATGTTGTTTTGCACATCCCTAAAATGTGACTGCACCTTTCATATCTGCAAAATCTCATATTTACACACACTTTCACACATACAATAACTTCTAGGAGCTACTGTGTGCAGTACCTTGTCCTGGTTGACAACGTTGCCATGACATAGGTTCCCAATGAGTCGAATGAGATGAGCTTTGAAACTGAGGGCAGGATGGGTGTCGGCGCCCCCTGGCCTTGTCAAGGAGAAATCGTGTGCTGCGGTGAACACATTTTTACTGGTTTTGCCCAGTAAGTGGACCTTTTTCAAGAGATCTGGAGATGACAAAGATGGAGAATTTACACGTTACAACAAGATGAGAGTGAGAGAAAGAGAGACAAAGAGAGTGAGAAATGCATGCTGGCATAACTGTCATGTTTAATGTGTGACATCACAGCTGGAGATGACAGGAGAGTGGGAAGAATGAAGATTGTGTCTGTCTGCAGTGAGCTGTGACCTATCAGAGGTTTCGGTTTCATACAGCACCCTACTGAAATGGCTGCTTTGTGTTTGAAATAGAAAAGTTGAGAAAAAGCATATAGGGGTGTGTGATTTGATTTTTCAGTTTAGTTAATCGTCTGCAATATAGACAGTATGAGGGATAGCAAGCTCAGCCCCATGTTTTCAAGACAAGAGGCTTTTTACAGAGCGATCATGCAGTTGTACCAAAACAAATATTTTGCATTTTCAGTTCATGGCAAAGACTTGATAATTTCCTATGGTTTTTGTGTATTCTCATTAAGAATGCATTAGGATTTTTATCTCCAACAAAAGCAAAAGCATTACGCCACATTTCTCCACATTTACCGACTGTTGCGCTCAAAAGGTCAGAGTGATCCTGCAGTGCCATGAACTCCTTGCAGTCAGAGGTCATTTCACAAAGGATGTCCAAAAGCCTGATGACAACCAGAGCCTCCTACAAATGTACAACAAATACCAGGCTTAGAACATCTTCTATAAAATGTACAGTAGCTTTAAGGTCAGTGAGAATTTTTTAAAGATTTTGAAAGAAGTCTCTTCTTTCAGTGCTCATCAAGGCTGCATTTGTTTGAATATATTATAAAATGTAAATTATTCCTGTATTTGCAAAGCTGAATTTTCAGCATCCATTACTCCAATCTTTAGTGTCACATGATACTTAAGTTCAGAAATCATTCTAATAAGTGAGCCTGGACCACAAAACCAGTCATAAGGGTCAATTTTTCGAAATTGACATTTATTACATCATCTGAAAGCTGAATAAATAAGCTTTCCATTGATGTACGGTTTGTTAGGATAGGACAATATTTGGCAAAAATCTGGAATCTGAGGGTGCAAAAAACTCAAAATATTGAGAAAATCACCTTTAAAGTTGTCCAAATGAAGTTCTTAGCCATGCATATTACTATTCAAAAATTAAGTTTTAATATATTTACGTTAAGAATTTTACAAAATATCTTCATGGAACATGATCTTTACTTAATATCCTAATGATTTTTGGCATAAAAGAAAAATCAATAATTTTGACCCATACAATGTATTTTTGGCTATTGCTACAAATATACCCCAGCGACTTAAGACTGGTTTTGTGCTCCAGGGTCACATATGCTGATTTGGTGCTCAAGAAAGTATTACCAGTAGTTTCTTAATATCCACTATCAACAGACACTGATAAAAACATACATAATATTGCCCACTATACAGTATGATCCCAATATTCTGTATATTGCTATTGCATACTAACATGAAGAGGTGCATTGCAGATAAAGCTGACCTGGTCATCTGATGATTCAGAGCTCAGAGTGAGAACAGCTCTGCAGTGATCAGTGAAGCAGGAAGCCAGGAACTGAGCTGCGCTCAGGGGCATTAAACAGTTCTCCTCCTCAACGACACCAAGCTGTGCTAATATCAGCTCCAACAGTGTGAGCCTGTTGGTATACAATTACATTCACAAAATAATCTATATCAAAACATGCAATACAATTAAGACACATTTATTCTTATGGCCCATTTTACTGTGCTTTAAGAATGATGCTCAGGCTCTGTTCCAACCCCTAGTGAGCTGTCTTAATGTCTACACAGAGAATTACCTTTTAAGGAAGCATCCTAACCAAAGTGGAACCTCATTGGCCCAGACAGAATTATTTAATTTGAATATTTCTGATAGGTAATAATGCGCTGAAAGTCATAAGTACAAAAGTGTAGTGAAAAATGTGTTTATTTTCTCGGAGTGTCTATTTACACTAAGTGCAAATAGCCTGCCTTGTTGGCAGAGGCTATTTACACTAACTCCGCCCACCAACGTCTGATTGGGATAGTCAACACTGAAAAAAGACACATCTGTTTCAGTGGCGTAGATGGTAAGGCGCGTGCTTTTTGACGCGATTGACCCGAGTTCGAACCCACCTTTTGCCTAACTTTTTTTTCTCCCTTTTCAAATCTCTTATCGCATCGGAAAGGCATTTATTTTCAATAAAAATGAAAAATAAAGTATCGGGTAGGGTTAGGGTAGGTGTAGTGAGGGCTTTATTGTCCCAATAAGGTGGCATCCATTTAATAATTTGAATTAAAATTATAATTTACACTCAATACATTATTATTGCGTACTGTTTTATAATGCACTGCAATACTGAGGTGCAGATAATTGCTACTATTTGCAATAAGTAGTATAAATAGCAGAAAATCTTGCTGTTTTAACAGTGTAAACATAATCCATAGCTATTTGCACAGTGTAAATAGCATATCATTAAAATATACTGCTATTTTCACTTAGTGTAAATAGAATTCATTGCTATTTGCACTTAGTGTAAAT